CCGGTGAATACAATTGATGGAAGATCGTAAAATAATAGCGCAAATTTCTTGTAATAGGCTTTCAGTACTTCTTCTTGCTGGTCGGAAAACACAATATTCACAGCATAATTTTGAAGTTAAACGCAGCTGCACATTAGGTTTAGCAGCCCCTTCGTCTCTCAGTATAACGTTGTAATGTCGTGAAAGAAACATCAATTTTTGTCGCAGCTTGGCGGATACTCGAACCTTCTTCAATCAGTTAAAACGCGGTTTCTATCTGGGCCTGGGTGTGCTTGCCAATTTTTCTTTCGAAACTTTTTCTTCGGTGCATTTTCTATAACTAAATTGACAAAAGTGGCATATAAAGTTCGAATGTAAGACCTGTAACCGCAAGTCCATTAAACCTAAACAAAACTTCTGTGAAATGAATCATTATTCTTAAAAGATTTCAATTGGATGTGTTTTGAATTAGGTTTATTTGGGGAAAAAAGTTGTCTGAGAAGCCTCTCTATAGATTTAATTGGTTGAATTATGAACCAATAGGAGATGTTTTTGTCTATTTCATCGTGAATTAGGTTTACTGATGTTAGGTGGATCGTGATCCACTGTTAACCATGTGCACTGATCCGCTGTAGACCAACCCGTCATTTGATTTTCAAAATCTTGATTTGACAAAACAAGTTGAATAACACCTATTATTCGAGTGCTCTTACGAATGCTAATGATTTCTTGAAACGAAGAAAATATCCAGAACTCAATCATAGAAGAACTGATGAAATTACACAAAAAGTTCGACTTACCTGATAATAAGAAATGGAGGCTCGAAAACACAAATTCAACTGTTAAAAATTCGACTATCAACTGAACCGCTCAGCTGGGAAGTAAGTCAAAGAGGCATTACATTACCTCTACCACGTGCATCTCGCCCAATCACCTACATACAATAGATAAACCAATAACAGATTGATTTACTGTGAACCACTGATCCACTGTTGACCACCCTATCCTACATTTATTTTTGGAAAATTCTGAAAGAATTCTGTATGTTATACATTATTTTTCAATGTTGTGATTTAATAATATTCAATCCACAATCAAATCACTTGTGCGTAATTTTTCTCAAACTAGATGTATGTTTTCAAGAACCCCCCAACTAAATTCTTGTTGTGATAATATCCAACGCAATCAACATCTATGAACGGAATAATTTATTAATAAAAATCAATATGAGAAATATCTGAATCAATATGCAGATGAATTAAAATGTTTTTCTATCTACAACTCAAGAGTTGAAACTTTGAAACCAAATATTTGCACCATTTTTATCGAAAGTAGACAAGATACAATATAATTTTTGTTTGAATAATAAATAGCAAGGTTGCAAAAGCTTCTCTTCAGAAGCTTGAAAAACTATAAATGTCATTAGTTCGGTCTTCTATTGTCGAATATTATATAAAATGATTTGAAATCCCTGAAAAAAGCTATTCAAATGAAAAATTGACAAGAATAGATTATTATAACAATTATTTTAGGCAAAAATACCCTGAAATGAAATCACATTGAAATAAAATACAAGTAAACAATTAAACAATTGAACTAAAAATAAAAAAAATCAGGAGATTCCTGGCCAACTTCCTTCACGACGTTTCGGTTGTTAGTATCCACTATCGTCTTCGGGTGATAACTGGAGTAATTCCTCCCAGAGATGACTATTTATGGGTCATTCATGACCGTTTGGTGAGAGTTGGCCATTTTTTTCCTTGGTTATGGGTTTCCATACGATAGCTTGGCTAAATACATTGTTGGACAACATGTATGCAGGTTTTTTTAATTTCCTTCTAAACCAGTGTTCCTTCCTGTGTATGATCTCAGCTTGGGATCACTCGATGTTATGTTGATGGGTCCAAAACATGCTCTGCTATTCCTGATATGCTGGTTTCCCCTCGCTGTGTGCGTTTCTTGTGCTCGACAATGCGGACTGTCAATGGCCCCTGAAACATATCAACAACGTGAAACCTTCCACCACTTTCACAATGGAGAATGGAGTCCACAACGAATTGCCATTACTAGACGTATTAGTGAAGAGGACCGACACATCTGTATACCGAAAACCCACTCACACGGAACAGTATCTGAACCACGAATCCAACCACCATCAATCGAATGATAGAGGAATCATTGAAACTCTATTACATCAGAGGATTATCGGAAAAATTGGGTCCAAGCACAATATAAGAACCTGCTTCAGATCCGGCTGCTTCAGATCTGACAGCCTCACGAACACCAGACCATAACATCGAGTGATCCCAAGCTGAGCCAGCCAAGCTAGCGTAGAGATACGCAACATATGGAAACCCATAATCAGCAAAAAACTCCCACCAAACGGTTATCTCCTATCAAACAGGTGAAGCGAAAAGACGAGATAAGTGAAAATACTCGAATGAACTATAAATAGTCATTTCTCGGAGAAATTAGTCCAGTCATCACCCGAAGACGATGATAGATACAAACAATCAAAAAGTCGTGAAGTAACTTGGGTTGAAATCTCTAAATTTCTTTTATTATTTTTTGTTTCATTTTTCATTTATATTTTATTTCACTGTAACTTCATTTCAGGTATTTGTATTTCAAATATTTTTATATAACATTAGAAAATGGAAGTCCGAACTAATGACATTTATCCTGAAACGTTGTCAATCATCTTTAAACAACAGGTTGGAATACTGTTGTGAACCAGAAAACTGTACAAACCTCA